AAAAGACTAAAAAAAAGACTAAAGAAAAAGACTTGAAAAAAAAAAACTGTAAAATCTAGCATGGGGATTTTAGATGGGGATTTACGAAGTACAACAACTACGGAGTAAAAGGTCTGAACTCTTCAGTCCCACGTTGTCCGGGGTCTGCTTACAGTAGGGTTCAACCCTTTCTTAATAGTAATTTATTGTTATTATACGGTACCTACTGTACTGTACAGTAAGTATGGGTTCACGTCAGGCGGGGGGGAGGGACCCAGAACGCAATTCTTGGATCCTACCTACAGTACCGGTAGGTAGGAGCTCCAGGGCGTGCGAAGCGTGCGAAGCAGAGGCATTCTGGTACTGATACCGGTAGGAGTACCTATACTGTACTGTACAGGACAAAGTGTAGTGCGTACCGTAGTACGTTTGTCCCATCATCTAATGGAGAGAAGAACCCACGTGGGAGGAAGCGCTCTCTTTTTTTAAAAAAAAAAAAAAAAAACACCTCGGGTCTCTGGTTGATGATACCAGGACGTGGAATATATGAGGTAGGTATGAGGTTTTACCCCTATGGTCGGAGTCCGAGTCGAAGAGAGGCAAGGGTTGCGGGGTCCTATGTAGGATAGGTACCTTAGGTACCTTTCAGCGGGACGGTCAACTCTTCAGCCTTTTTTTTTTTTTTTTTTTGACTGCAGTATAAACTTCTGACGTACTTCTTAAATACGTACTACGTACGTAGCGTGAAAGCTAATAGTAGAGTATAATATTTATTATCCTTTCATACTCCCAGACCCCCTTCTGGAAAAAAATAAAATAAAAATAAAAAGTCAATACGTAGAGTTTTCGGAATGCAACAACTACTACTATATCTGTCTGTACTATTACTGTATTCCAACCTCGTCGGCGCGCCCTTCGAAAAAACTCTGTGTTACCAAAAACAACCACCGAACTTGACAGCGATAAGATAATTACATGCACCCTCCTAAATGACCGTAGTCGCCAGCCTCGATATTGTCTAGCTATAGGTTAATCAAAATCAAAGTCAATCAGAAGGTGGATTGATTCTTGACAAATTAAGAATATCTGCTAGCTATCGTTCGCCGATGCTTTCTACGCCGCGTCGATCGTCGATCAGCAGGCGAGAAGCCTTCGATTTTTTATTTTTTATTTCTTTTTTCTTCGTGGTGTTTTCCATGTTGTGCGGTAGGTAGGTAGGTAGGTAAGGCTTATGATACTGGAAACTGCAATGTGCAGTGCAGGTCTGTCTGCCTTTGCGTGACGATTTATTACCGTACATCACAACTTGCGTTGATTGATTTTTTAGTGATTCATTAATCGGATACGCGATTACAGAAAAATCACGAAAAAGATTGACCGTGTCGCTGAAGATTGACCGTGTCGCTGAAAAGTGCCGAGAACCGCAACGCTTGCCTCGGACTTGTACGCCGACCAGAGGTCCGATTGAAGGAGTGCCTGGATACTTTCTCAAGGAAAGAGAAGTCTAGAAAGATGATACTACCGGTACTACGAAGAGAGTTGGCCGTGCTTGGGGGCTGTCGTGACCTTAGGCCACTAGGCTACTACAGGTGGCACAGACCACTTGAGAGGGTATATAGGTAGCAGCCTCACGTGGATCTGAGCTTCCTAAGAATAATAACCACCTTGCTCCATCATCTTATTTCCTTATATTGTCTGGGGCGCAATTGATGAGGTGGGGCTCTCGGATGTATCCAAGTATGGATGGTACTTTTCGAATCCAAGCGCTCTATTGAAATCTTACGCGAACCTCGCTCCAAAGTACAATACCTACCTATGTCAGTCGAACTACCGTGCTCTCGAGGTCCACAAGGGGAAACATCGGACTGCCGAGTCAAGACCGAATTGCACTACTATCAAAACCCATCTTTACTCAGCGTTGGTGAAATCTGAAAAAGGTAGGTAGACCAACGCGATCTTCGGGCCAGAACCTAGCTTTTGACACTCGGTTTGTAGAATCCGCCGCGGACCAAAGCGGCCCTAGTACCTTCTCCGTCCCCCTTCTCCGGCATAGGTAGGTAGGTGTCCATTTAGGTATTATCATGGATACAAGGAAAGAAGCGTGTGCTGCTCCAGCAACAAGAAGGGAAAACCGAGCAAAACATCTCGCCGATCTTGGAGGCTGCTATCATCGTCCTCGCCCCTCTGGAGAAGGAGTGCGTGAGCAAGCCGTTGTAAAGAAGGAACCTCGCTGCTTGATCCTTCGTCCGAAATAGTACTCTTCCCAAGCGTGCTGAGGCCGTTCCTGCAAGCCCTCTATTTTTAATCGCTTTTTCTTGTATTGTGTAGGTGATTTTGAGGCTGAGGAAGGGAGACTTGAAGATAACGTACGGCGATATGACGGACGGGGTCTGATCCTGGGGGCCCTCCGCAAGCTCCGGGGCCAGGGGACTTCGCTTCGCCCCGGTCGTGGTACCGTAATCGTCGGCTCGCTTAGGTAGGCCTCCTTACAGCCTTTCAGTCTTAGTCGGTATAAGCGACTGCGGATCGGAAGCGAGTGCGGATTTTTCGAATGTGTTAGAAATTTTTGTATACTATAGCAATTATTATTATAATTAAAAAAAATATTTATTTAAATAATTAAATCTGCGATTATATCTTCTTCCGAAACGTTTAAACTCGTATCATCTCATGAAACATCTGACGATCGATTGCTATTTTTATTAGAATTTGACTCGTCTTTTAGTACTTTACGCAACGCATCGTTTAAATTTCTATTACTATTAAGATTAAAGCTATCGCTATCGATATAATATTACAAAAAAAAGAAAAACATTTTGCTTTTAAAAAAGGGGTCTTGAATAGTATCGGTTGTAATTATCAAATTATCGTTATCGAGAGAAGGTTCAAGTTGAGAGAGAGTTGGTCGGAGAATACCTTTTTTTACGAGGCCGCAAAATTTAACGCTTGAAAGGTTATTGCATCTATCAAATCTCTTTCCAATCGAGAATGGGAATGAGTGTTGTATCGTCGTCTTTAATAATTAGACTTGCAGCAAAGCGTTCTAGTATAGTCCTTTTACGCTCGCACTTAGCTGTTCGTAAATCGACTCTTGTACGATACTTAACCTCTCTCTCTTTTCTTTAAAATTTTTATCGCCGATGCGTTGTTGTTTTGCAGCAAATTCTGCAATAGATTCCCGATTTTCTTAAGTTTAGCTTGAGCCTTGCTGCTTAACAGCAAGCTTTTTACCGGTTGATGATACGATTTTCAATGTTTCGAGAGAAGGTATACGTTTCAATTAATTATTCATATACCTATTTTTTTAATTAATGATGATAATCATTGCTATAGTATAAGATAATTTCCAATACACTCGAAGAATCCGCACTCGCTTCCGATCCGCAATCGCTGATACCGACTAAGACTGAGAGGCTGTAAGAAGGCCCACCTAGCGAGCCGACGATTATCGGTATTTCCTACGCTTCAAAAGGATGTAAAGAGGATGTAACGCTTCAGCCCGGCCGCAACGCTAAAACTCACGGCCCCCCACAAGCCCCCGGGGCAAGTTTCCCTGACTTCGCGGCTTAATACTCGTAGCTACATAGCTACATCGCTATCTAATCTATAACAATAGCTTCTTCTCTAAGCGCGATGCAGCTAGCTAGCTAGCTTATTTTCCGAGCATCCAATCTATACTGTAGCACCGCCCTCTTTTTAGCTCGGTACAGCCCAGCCGTCCTTCGAGCATTCAGTCCCCAGCAATAGTTCTTCTCAGCCCGGTGTAGCCAGCTATTCTGTGAGCCTTTCTTTAATCTACAGGACAGGAATGGCCTTCTGTAACGCTACGCAGTCAGCTAGCTGTTCTTCGAGCATGCACTCCGCAGTAAACAGCCCTTTACAATACGGATGCAGCGAGCAGCTGTCTTTCGAGCATCTCTAGGCTGTAAAATATCGCTTGCGTGCTTGCTCACAACTTTTTAATTTTTTTTCCCCCGCTCTTTCAATATCTCGAGATCTCAAAGGTCTCCCTGGAAGTAAAACCCGTTCGAACGGATGATAACCATGCCCGCTATCGTGACGCACAGAGAGCGAGAGTAGGTTATCCCTATCTTGTTTGGGTAGTAGCTACCTGCTTTAAAAACTGTTTCGAGGCGCAAGAACTTTTTATAAAAAAAAAGAGTAGCTATGGATTCAATAGGTAGCTTGGATATCTGAAGGAAAGAGAGAAAAAAGTCAACGTGAGCGTCATTAGCGCTCCAAATTCTCGTTTTCTTTGTCTTTTTTATCTTTGTTTTATCTTCGTTTTATCTTTGTTTTATCTTATTTTTGATCTTATTTTTGATCTTATTATTTATCTTATTTTTTACCTTTTTTTTCTTTCATTGTCATTTTTCAAGTAAAGAAGCAGCGCCAGATAGTATGACAACTTTTCAATTTTCAATTTTCAATTTTTTTTTTAAAAAAAAAACTTCCCTCCCTCGCTCCCTCGCCAACTCTACATACCTATCCTATCTTATCCTCCGTACAATTGACGAGCCACTTCCTTCTGATTGTGCTACTTAAGCCAGCTAGAGCCCGCTACTCTAGGAAATCCTTTAATCTTCCAAGCTTTCCAATCAATAGTAGCGTCAGAAACTTGCTTTAGCTCATCTTCCGATTCAAAGCATTGGGCCCAAGCACGCAATTTATCGTCATTCACCACTGCCGTCGGGATAACCATTTGCAGTAACGGGTCCTCAGCATCCGGAGTCCATGAGAAGCGCAGCGCTTCCCCGGGCTTCGATATGTACGCCTCCGAACCAATATACTCCACAATGGCTGCTTCGTCCGCGGCCCACAAGTTCCTGGTCACGAAACCAGCCGGAGTCAACTTCTCGTAACTGCTCGGGATGTAGACTTTGCCGGCTGATTCTATCTTCCCCCTTCTCGCTTTGACAACACAGTACCAACTCTCCTCTTCTTGACCCATCCAGCGACCAGGTGTGTTTACTATTTAGATGATCAGCGCCGCGGAACGAGTCCCGATCTGTAGAGATCAAAACTCACCGAGATAAAAGCCACGTCCTAATTGAAGATTGTGCGGGGAATCCTTTACCCATAGCTCGCTATCTGTGTTGATGGCCAAAGCCTCCCACTAAGTACCACTCGCGTCAGTCGATATAAGCTTGTGCCATATAAGTCAAGCGAAACTTACTCTGGACACTGCTGCATAGCCGATAACCATCATTTCCTTGCGCCTAGACCACTTGGACCACTGAAACCACCCTTGAGCTTGAGCTCCATCAGAGAAGAGGCTCAAGGTTAGCAAGGTCGCGAACATAGACTTCCATAGTGGCATCGTTTCTGTCCGCAGCTGACGAACGGAAAACAAGCTTTGCGAAAGAAGAAGAAGAAGAAGAAGAAGTAGAAGAAGAAGAAGGAGAAGAAGAAGAAGAAGATGATGATAAAGTGAATCTAGAGCCGGTGCCAGTTCTAACGAGATAGATGCAAGAGGAAATATGCTTATCTCGCTCTTTAAACCATATTCGAACCTTCCACGCCGGCTATAAATAATCGGTGCCGCTAAGAATATCCGCCCGCACTGACGGTGGGATTCGGGTCTTTTTCATGCTCGCATCGAGAATCATCTTGGGATATAAACTATTTTTAAGGTTATAATCTTCCTTTCTACTCTGAAGGGATCGACGTGATGACTCGTGATCGTAGGTCGGGAGGATCGGACTGGATCGGGTCCTTGAGTCAGTAAGTATCCTATCGCATGATAGATAAAATAAACACCTCTACCGATAAGTACCCCTCTACCGATATTAATAACCAAACAATCAAACAACTAAAAAAAATACTCCTCCCTTAACAGGACCTCTATATACACAATCCCACCTCATCTCATCCCGGTTATTTTTTCCGCCCTTAATATATCCATTTTTCCACTTCACTTTATCAACTCACCTCAGACCCTCCCAACCTCCCAACCTCCAAACCTCTAAAAAAATAAAAATAAAAATCCATCTCCCCTTTCTTTCCCTTTCCCTCTGAAATAAAATCAAATCAGTATACATCCATACCAATCTACCAACCAACCAAGCTACTTCCTTTTCCGTCACTTACCTACCTACCTACCTCCCTACCTCCCTCCCTACCTACCTCCCTACCTCCCCACCTACCTACCTACCTAAGTACATATCGACTCCGACTCCTACTCTTATAACCACACTCATAGTAACTTTCACTATACGATTGCTTTCCCGGCCCGAAAACAAATTAAACAGAATTATACCAAATTAAACCAAACTAGACCAGACCAAACAGTACAGACCAGACCAGACCAGACCAGACCAGACCAGACCAAACCAAACAGTATAGACTAGACCAACTAAATCAAACCAACTAAACCAAATGAAACCAGCTTGCGATTTTCCAAATATATATATATATATATATATATATATATATCAATACACCCACTCACTCACGCGCTAAAGCAAGGCACATAACACATACAGCTAGCTAGCCCTTCTCTTCCCCCCTCCCCCCCCCCCTTCTCTTCCCCCCCCCTTCCCCTTTTCAAGACGCAAGACGCAAGACCCAAGTTAGATAATACAGTACGTAACAATACCATACAACAATAATACCACATGGCAAGAATACAATGATAGGAAAAAAGAGAACAATACAAATACAAGAACAATACAAGAACAATACAAGAACAATACAAGAACAATACAAGAACAATACAAGAACAACAAGAATAAAAATACAGCATCAGCATAGGAAATGATATCATATGATTCAATCTACTTTTCAGACTCATGATTGTGACGAGTACCCGGGGATCGATACCCAGTGCCTGGTGCCTGGTGCCTAGTGCCCAAAGCCCAGGAAGAGCCCACGCGTAGTATGGTGAGTATATCGACAGGAATGCATGCCACCCTGCACTAGAGACGCCGTCCGTGTCCATCCATTTACAAAGAGTACGAGTTGGGTATGCCTTCGCACACACAACCCAGCCCAGTCCAGCCCAGCCCAACCCAGCCCAGCCCAGCCCAACCCAACCCAAGAAGAACGCCGTTACTCCTCCCCTTTCCATTTTCCTCTGGAGGAAAAAATACATAAAACCCCCTCCCCCCTCCCCCCTCCCCCCTCCCCCCTCCCCCCTCCCACCCCAGGCGTCTCTGCGCGGCTAAGCGAGCCTAGGAAACAACAACGTGCATACTCATATGCTCCACCGCGTCCTTCACGCTCCTCATCCACCGGTGGTTGATGCAAAAGGGACACCGGACCGCCGGCTCCGACACGGCACTCAGCGCCACCTCGGCCCGTCGCGGGACCTGGGGGATGACGATTCCACTCGCGGTGTGCAGCTCGTAGCCATGATCGCTGACCCCACCAGCACCACCAGCGCCCATGCCACCCACATTCGCACCCCCGTTCAGACCAGCGCCGTGAGAGCTACCGTGGGGCGGCTGATTAGGGGCAGGTGTAGGCGTCCCGTGAATGCCAGGCTGCTCGAACAAGTTGTTGCTGTCCCCATCTTGACTCCCGATTCCGTCCGCACTACCTCCCATCCCCTGCCCATCACCACCATCACCACCAACACCACCACCACCACCAACAGACACCTCTCCATCAGGCGCCTCCCCGTTCTCCGCCCTCTTTTTCAGAATCTCCGTCTTGGCGCGCCGGCACTGCTGCAGATGAACTTCCGCACCGTACTCCCGTAGCAAGCACTCGCGTATCTCCACCGGCGTAGTGTCCTTGTCGATCCGCATCAGCCGCGGCAGGATCTCCATCAAGAACGGTAGCCGGGACGCCGAGTTTCGCTGCACCTTGGGTAGCACGGGGATGAGCGTCGGCGTGTTCGGGTCTTGCATCTGAACAAGGCGTGGAGACATGGGGCCCAGGACGCGCGCCCCAGGAATGATATTTCCATCCGCATCCTGTCGGATTTCCAGACCCGGCAGTTGCTGCTGGTGATGTTGTGGTTGTGGTTGATGTTGCTGCTGCTGCTGCTGCTGCTGTTGTTGCTGTGCTTGTCCTCCTCCTCCTCCACCACCTATCCCATTCATCCCTCCTCCCCCATCCATCCCACTCAAACCCCCCATGCCCGACGTCCCCATGACCATCCCGGGTATGCCCTGTCCCTGACCCTCGCCACCCAGCCCGCCGCCAGGCCTCCACTCCAACCCGTTCAAGCACGTATGCCTCTCCCTCAGCACTGTGACCCGGGCCAGCGGCTCCCGCCCGCCCTTGCGCTCCCAGTTGCACCGGATCACGAACGGGCAGTTGGGGTCGCGCTTGCAGCCGACGCGCACGCGGCCCGTATCCGACTTGAGGATGCGCGGCTCAAAGTGCGCCTCGATGGCCCAGGCGTGCAGGGCCTCTTTGAACGCTTTCAGCGTCGGGAACTCCTGTCGGAGCTGCAGCGGGGGCATGGCGACGTCGAGGGCAAGGCGGGGATGACGTTACTCGCGAGCCGTGCACGGTTGTTGAGAGGGGGATATTGCCGTCGAGGAGGAGAGAGAGAGCGAGAGAGAGAGAAGTGGAGTGTGAAGCTGAGTTCACGGTGATGGTAGCCAGCTCGCGGAGATGGGACGGGAAGGGAACGTCGGATTCAGGACACCAGCGAGCCCGCCCAGCGAGCCGCAGGGGGGGGGGGGGGGTTAGAGAGGGGGAAAAAAAAACCGATGTTGGGTTGGAAGATGATTTTCGAGGTGAGGTGCTTGCCCCTTTGTTGACGTCGAGTCGGTTTGCCGAGTGTAAATAGAGGGAAGGGGGAAAGGACGAGGGTAATCTGGATGGGGTGTCGTTGAAAATGAAGTTGGGCCATGGAGAACACGAGGTCAATGTGGGAATGGTGGTGGCGCGGGGAGTAGAGGGCATTGGGAACGCGTGACGGGGTGTGGCTGACTCGCTTAAGCAGGTGGGTAAGGGTAGGATAGTATCTGCAAGTAAAGAAAGATGAACCCTTATATACGGTAAAGCAATCATCAAGCACTTATCAATGAATACTTTTGTTTCTTTTTTAACACCACATATTCACACTTTCTCGAATTAATTGCCTTGCTTTCATTTCATTCCATTTCATTTCCCTTCCTGCCTCACACGATATTCTGTTCCACGCTCATCGCATCTTATCCCATCCCGTCCCATCCATTCATTTCCCAGTCCATCATTCATCCCAACCCACTCGTATCATAAACGCTTGATGATCTACCCATACGCACTCGCGGCCAGCGAACATCTTCCTATCCACCCAGCATTCTGCCCTAGCCACCAATTCACCCTGGCTAGAACCTCACCCTCGTGGTATGTGTCATAAAATATGCAATATCAAAGCAGCCAAAGGAACAAGCACAGCGCACCACATAACACCTGAGAACGCCAGCCCCCTCCCCCCATCCCCCTATATCCTCCCCTATAGAATATCGTGACGATTGAAGAAGAAGTTGTGTCTACTAGACATAATGTGTCGCCCTAGTGAACTGATTTGAATGAGCAGCGGTCGGCTGTTCCCGCGACAGCTGTTATCACTCCCATATCGAATAGCGTCTGTACATCTGGAGCAGATTAAGAAGTGTAGGGTGTGTTCGGCGCCGGGCTCCAGCTTCGTCGCCCTGAGCGCGGATTAGTTGGGCTCGACGTAGATAATCAGCTTATCGTTCCGCTGGAGCGCAATGTCTAGGTCGTTGTTACTCAATAGACCGGGTCGCTCGCCGCTCGGCTCGTCTTTGTAAAACAAGGCGATATCTTCGCCTGGGGCAATCCTTAGTCTCTCACGGATCTTCTCATACAGTTGTTGGTATTGGATGTCCGTCGGTACCCGGATCGCAATGAGATCGTCGCCATAGTAAATCTTGACTTTCATTGCGGATGGTGGCGGTTGGCCGCTCAGGCCTGGGGAGATTGACTGATTTGACGGTTGGGAGAGAGAGGACGTGTGCCGCGGCTGGAGACCACCACCGTTGTTCGATGAGAGTGAAGACTGTCCTCGTTGATGTGTGGGAGCAGCTGACAGTCCACCATAGCCACCATTCAGATTGCCTCGGGAAGAATGCCTCGAGGCTCCGTTTGTCGGCGAGTCTGTCGAGGATTGCTGAGATCCGCCCGACAGTCGATACTCCTCTTCTATAGCTGCCGGGTCAATTTCAAAATCCCCCTCTCTAGGCGCAAAGAATTGCTTCACCAGGGCACACCTCGAGATGTAAGGTGGCTGCGTCAGCAAGTTCTTGACGTATGCATCCAAGTTATGCTGTCTGCCTTCTGTGATGGCATCCGTTACGTAGTTGACGGGTCCGGGCATGTACGGCAAAGTCCTCTTCTGTCCCATATTGTTACCAGCCTCCGCGGGAAATTCGGTCAGAAGCGCGATTTGAAAATCGTAAAAGTCCTCGTAATATCTCGATAATTCCCAATGTCGTCCGTCTTCCAGCGCCGCTTCAATGACAAACCAGTACTTGTCTTCCGCAAAACAATACCGGGGAATCTTTGCAGATATCGGAGCGTAAAGTTCCGATCCTGATTTGGAGTGCTGTTGCTGCGTGCTTCGGGACTGCTGCGATTGTCGCATCTGCTGTTGCGGCTATGTAGTATTAGTCGCATCTCCGGAACAGCTGTACTGACACAGTACTTACGTATCCATTTTGCTTCTGGCCTTGCTGCAGACTCAAGCGGTCCATCCCCTGCTCCAAGCCCTGCTGCACGTCCGCGCCCTCGAACTTCCCCAGAGTGATACTCGAGTTCTTGTATTCCGCAGCCATCTTCTTCCACTCCTCAACCTTCGGCACGCCTGCCCTCTGAACTGCCTCTGAAGCATCCGTGACCGCCTGTCCAGATCCCATATCCCGTATCTCGATGAATGAGACCGGAATCAGACCCGGCCCTCCTAGTCTCCCGATCGGTTTCGCAACAAACCATTCCGGATTCGACTGCGCAATCACAATTATGGCCTCCCCCGCCCTCGCATCCAGCTCGTCGGGCCTCTCTGCTGCAAAGTCATACATGACGATTCCGTACACCATGGCGCCAGAGCCCTTCCCCATCGTCGTCTTGGATGATCGCGCCGTATCGGTCCCTACTAACGTTGCAGAGGTATCGGAGTATCCCGAGTCGTGATCGGGTGCTCTGACCGCCTGTGGTGAAAGATCGGAATGTCCGCTGTCCCTCTCCGTCTTTCCTAAGGCCTGGAAGAACGCGACGGGGACCAGCCCCCGCGCGTCTGGAACCGCGGGGTTGCAGGCCTCGTACCAGTCGGAATCATTTTCCCTCCCGATAACGTGGAAGAAGTCGCCTTTCGTGAAGGATAGTTCCTGGTTGGATTGAGCCTCGTAGTCGTAAAGAGCGCGGATTACCTGGGGCGGACATGTCAGTCAATACAGCTTTACCCCTCGCTGTGTCGCGGCAACGCAGCAGGACTTGGGCTACCAACCTTCTTCGGCGGCACGATGGCGACTGCGGATTTGGGGGTGATGGAGATGTGGTTGACTCGGTCCTTGTCGTTCTTTAAACTCCGCCTGAGAGCCTACAGCAAACGCATTGTTAGCACTGAATCCCAAGTGGGCCGGCTAGTCACTGACTCCCGCCCGCGGCACCGAGGAGAAGGGAAATTGGAGATTGGGGTGTCCTACCTTCATATTTGGGTGTGTATACTTTGCGTTGCTCAAACTGCGTCGCACACCTCCAAAATTAAGACTCTTGCCGCGTGATTACCGTCACGTATACGGACAGTCCTCCTCTTCTCGCTTCCTCGGGTCGTTGGTCCGTTGTCGTCGTTGTTGACGTTGTCGTTGTTGTCCAAGCCGGGTATTCTGGTTTGTTTGTTCGGCGCAACTCCTCCTTCCGGCGATCCAGCAGCGACAACAATGGACTCGAGGAGAATGAGGAAGTGGATGGGGTGAGTGCAGGAAGGGGACGAGATGAACCGGGTCGATCTGTTGTATTAGGATGGACCGCAGGGAGATCCTCGTAGTGGTGGTGGTGGTAGTGGTGGTGGTGGTGGTGGTGGTGGTGGTGGGAGTGGTAGTGGTGGTAGGAGTGGAGGTGGGCTTGCGGTGTTTTCGAGTGGGAAATGTTTGATGTAGGGACGGAGTGGCACTTGGCCCGAGAAATGCGGAAAAGTGGCTAAGTAAAACCTAAGCGCGGGTCAACTGCAACACACGGACGTCGGGCGTTGAAAAGGCAAATTATAATATAACAGAGGGGCCGTTGTCTGCGATTGATGGGGGAAGTTGGCAATGACGGCAGTTGGGCAGTTGAGCTGGGCTGGCCTGAAGCGATGGAAGCCAGGTGCATGGAAAAGAAGAAATTTAAATAAATTCCATGTATATAAATATACACATGTAAATACAGTAGTCATGCGGAATACGGATATATATATGTCGATCTACTTGCAGAAACTCTCCATGATAGAGGATTCGAGTGGCAATTAATAACAAGCTATCTATCAGATTTGTTTACCATACGGTATCCTGTGATCTATCCGATCTGTGCCCTGCCTTTCTTTGTGCGGCGGTTGCTATTGTCCTCGTACTCCAGCTCCTGCTCGGTGGCAATAGTGAATACTACTCACTCAATGATGCTGCTGATTGATACTTACTAATACGCGATACGCCTGTACTCTGTTGTCCTGTCTGGAAGATGCCTCCCTCGCCCATGTTTTTGTTTTTCTCGCTTCTCTCGCTCTCTTGCATCGCTCTCCAACCAACCACCCAGCCCCCCTTTTCCCCTTTTCCCTCCCTCACCTCAGCCCTTTTTTATTTTACCTGCCCTGCCCTGCCCTGCCCTGCCCTGCCCTGCCCCGCTGGAGCTTCAGCTGCAGGTCCGACGCGAATCAAGCATCTTTTCAGCTCAAGGGGTGGGCGGGCGGCACTGCTGGCCAGCAGATAGGTTTGTTTTGCGCCTCTCGTTGCCACTAGCGGCTGAATACGCGAGGTTGTCCCGTTGGAAGAAAACATTCTCTCGCCACCTCCACGGAATGTTGGGGATTCCTCTCCGCCGGTGATACACGCGGCGACCTACCGCAGGACCGGCCCCCGGGGCCCAGACCAGGACCGGGACCGGGAGCCGTCACTATCAATCTACTATCACGTCAACGGTCCACGAACCAAGCATTCAACTGACAAAGTCTAGACTCTTGACGCCTGACCGACAGAGTTTTGCCAATAGCCGCACATTGAATAGAGGTGTGGAATAAGGAATAAGGTACGTACGACATACGGACTCTACATCCTCTTTAGCCAGGTCCTGGTCGGTACTTGGTATATACTTTACCCCAACTTCCCATCGCGTGGCCCCTTTCCGAGCCAAGCTCTCCGGAGGATTCAACAGTCCAAGAGTATTTTTCTATAATCCGTACTTCATTTACCGGTACCTACCGGTACCTGTCTTGCAATGCATGCGAGGCAAGGTGCAAGGTGCAAGATGCAGTCCGGCACCGATAGGTATGTATACTCGGTCCACCGTCCAGGTACCCAGGGCCGCTCTCTCTCCACCACCACGTTTACGCCAGGACAAGTGCAGTAGGACACGCTTCACCCGGAAAAGCTGTGAACTATGGATAACGCCGGGCCCTTCCGCGAACTGCTGAAACGCGAGGGAGTCGAGGGGGGGGGGGGAGGTGGGTAACGAGCTAGGTAGTCCATCGAGCTAGGTACCTAGGTACTACCGGTAGGTACTACCGGTAGGTCTTCGCATTTGTTGCTACCGTATCTGACTGACCTCCGTAGAAGAACAGACTACCTACCGGTATCTACCGTAACCCGTCGTCCGTCATCAGCTGGAACTGACTCGTAGTACGAAGGTACCGGCGGTACATGTGTCCATGGCACCGGGTCGAGCACCGAGGACCGAGGCAACGGACTCGAAGCCTAACAGCACAACATATCATAATAACATCACACCTAACACCTAACACCTAACACCTAACACATAACACACAACACACAACACCTCCCTTCCCTTACCTTAACTCTTTCTCTCCTTACTTACTTTCGGTATGCATCTCACCCCCTTGCTACTACTCTATAGTACTACTACTGTACTACGTACTACCACGTTGTATGAAGACGCAAACTCCAAGTTCCAGCGACACAACTACCTACCTACGCACGGCCCGCCACACTTCAATCAATCGAACACATCTCTCATCTTCTCTCATGCATATATAGGTACATGCATGCATACACCCTGAAGAGATCCCCCGTCTCCCCAATCCTTCCTCTGAATCCCGAGAGCGAAGATCGTCATAGTTACTCGGAGTATATATGTATATGTGTGTGTGTGTGTATATATATATATATATATATATATATATATATATACATATATACATTCATCGACACGACTCCCGCATTATGCGTGGTGCATGTGATGTGATGTGATGTGCCGTGCGGAGAAGCGAGTGGAGTGGAGTTTAATTACTTACTTTCCCTCCCCTTCCGATCCCCTCCCTCCCTCCCTACCTACCTGTCGCACTCCCCTCCAGGCAAGAAAGAATGGTGCGGAATGAAAAGAAGGAAAGACAGAAAAGAATGAAAAGAAAGAAAGAAAGAAAACAAAAAGACGCGAAGCAAAGGAGAGAGAATCCCTTGCGGGATCATATGAAAGATTCTGCTCGCTGATAAGCAAGGCAAGCAAGGCAAGCAAGTTCACTACTGTACCTATCAACGAACCAGACGAATGAAACGACTGAAACGGATGAAACGGATGAAACAAACGAAGAAGAAAGCACGCGTCGATCCCTTCCTTCTCCTTCCTTCTTCCTTCTTCGTCCCTCTTGTTCTCCTTCTCCATTTTTTCTTCTTCCTCTCCTTCCCTTCCCACATACTTTTATTAGTATTATTAGTATTATTATTATTAATCTTCATGTGTATCTCTATTCCGTTCGTGGATCGGAGGGGTGTGGGTACCGGTATCCCCATCTTTTTTGCCGTGGTGGTATAGGTAGGTACCTACCGTAGATGTGGCTGGCATTGCCGGTGGTTGGTCCGGCTTTCTCACGTCGTGTCTTGGTGTGGTGCTGCGGTTTGAACTTGGGAGGGGGGTGTGCTACCGTGGGAGGTAGGTACCTTAGGTATAGGTAGGTAGGTAGGTAGTACGTAGTATATGGATGGGTGAGTAGCTTAAGTGCTGTTGGGTTTGGTTGCGATGGGATCGGGGTTATTTTTAATTTTGGATTTTTTTTTTTGAGGTTGGTTTGGATAGAATTGAATTGGAAAGGAGAGTTGGTTTTTTTGCATTTGAATTTGGATTTGGATTTGAATTGGATTTGAATTTGGTTTTGATTTGGATTTGGATTTGAATTTGGATTTGGATTTGGGTTTGGATTCGGATTTGAATTCGGATTTGGTTTGCTATCTTTACACCAAAGGCATTACACGTCCCCCTTGCATCACAACTCTTTACCACCCTGCTTAAATCATTATTCTCAAACCAAAAGAAAAGGGCTCATTCTGATACACACATACATACATACATACATACACAACCACTTTTCAAGACACCTATCTATCTATCTACCTACCAGAAGCCGCAGTAGCAGCAGCAGCCGCCGCCGCCGCCGCCCGCAGATCTCTCAGCACCCCCCGATCAATCTTCAACATCATCATCGGCGACAGAACACTCCTTACAGCAACGCTTCTCCTCCCCGTCTGGAAGTGAACAGCCGCCACGTGCGCCTCGCGGGCCGCGCCGCAGTCGAAGACAGCCGGGCACCAGCCGCAAGGGAGGAGCTGGTGCGACGTCTCCTCGTGCTGCGCGAGGAGCTCCGCCGTGCGGAAGCCCAGGCTGCACTTCTCGCACCTCGAGCCGTGGAGGGCCTGGACGTGGGCCTGCAGCGCGGCCACCGCGTAGAACGTCTTGGACCGGCACTGGCCGCACTTGAAGCCGTGGACGCGGGCCACGTGGTCGGCGATGGACTTCTCCGTGTAGAAGTCCATCTTGCAGGCGGCGCAGCGGTGGGCGTGGCTCGCGCGGTTATGCATGTCGAGGGCATCTGCTGAAGGGAACCTCTGGCCGGGGCACGAGACACACGGGTAGTTGTGCGTGGAGTCGTGGTGCGCCGCCAACTTGGCCTCGTCGGCATAGAAGAGATCGCATGGGATGCACTTCCATTGGTGCACAGCGCTGACGTGCTGGTCTAGGAAGATCTGTTTGACGAAGAGTCGCTTGCAGGGCTTGCATTCTTGCGCACAAGCATGGCCCTCTTTGCTTTTGCAGTGATCTGTTATCGCGCTCAGGCTGTTGAAGACGCGCTTGCGTCCACACTGGTAGCAGTACAGCTCCATAGTGATGGTAGGCAAACGGTTTCGAGGAGTATGTTTAGCGAGGGTGGTAAGCTTGCTGAATGAGATTAGCTTCTGCCAAGCAAGATCGGAGGAGAGAATGCAGCTGCCTCACTTTTGTTCGAGGTACTCCGGGTCAAAGACAAGGTATAGTCAGTGCCCTTGACGAAGAATGAGGTGGGACGGGACGGGTGTCTAGATGCTTATTAGAAGATATCCTGCGAGGGATAGAAGTATCTAGCTGACCTTGTGATTCAAAGGTAACGTAGAAGAAGACCGGCGACGACGGGGAGGCGAATGTGAACTTTCGAACGTGGATTGTATGTACTCTTGAAGTACGCCCGTCCGAAGCCCGATCTAGAGAAGAAGGTCGGAGAGGATGTAGCTGGTTGAATGTGAATCGAACGCTTCAACTGCGCGCGCAGGTCTGAAGTTCGATCTGGACAAAGAAGTTGATGAGAAGGACGCCGTAGCAGGTGAGCTGTTGTCAATGAAAGCAATTGGCTGTGAGAATCGAGAACGGTTGACAACAACGAAAGTGGGTGGGTGATAGCTTGAGGAGGTTCTGATGTGGGGTTGTGTGATGATTTCTGAAGGAAAGGAAGATATCTTTCACGGCGCCGAAAGATTTGTTCTGTGTTGATGTTATCGCCCGAAATCGACTAGCGCAGATAGTCTCCCACGCTTGCTGGTTGGTTGGTCCCCGAGCCTCTACCGATTAGACCGCGAGCATTAGATGGCCATAGTAGGAGTAGCCTTGTGGAATACAGATTGGGTGAACAAGCAAGAAGAGCTTACATACTAAGAATAGCTGCGGCGATGGTAGCAGCAGCATGCATATTACATATAATCAGAAGGTATATATATATATATATATATATATATACATTACTGCAAGCAGACCGTGTTGATCAAGTTCAGCTAAGCTAAGAAACCTCCTTACTACCCGGCAGAAGTTCTCCTTCTTACAAAGCGTCCCTTCAATCACGAAGAACAGCATAGGTAAAGCTTTTTTGAAGAGCTGCAGAAAAGGCAAAAGTCTGGTTCCTTCCTTTTCTACTCGTGGGTTCCCCCCTTTCACTCACTCACTCACTCACTTACCTACACACAGACTCGACAACTTCAAAAAGATATATAGGGACCACGAAATACCGAAAGCCAAGAGCGAAGAGCGAAGAGCGAAGAGCGAACAAGCACAACCTGATCCTCGCATTCAGACAGGGATCCCAGAGAGGAAGAGGGAGGAGAGAGAGAGCGAAGGCTTCTTCGCGGAATTGCCTGCTAGAAGCAGCTCAAAACGCCCCCTTCCCCCAGTTACGACGAGCCAAAGGTTCTCTCTCACTCTCAACAACAACACCTCGCTCGCTCGTGAATCCAAGGACAAGCCAGCATACCATACCATATCATATCCGATCGATTCCCTCTTCCGAACCGGCTTCACGCATTGTTCCATAGTTGCATACCCCCTCCTCTCCGACTCCAACTCCGACTCCGATGCCGAGCAGAGAAAAGAAAGTCAAGGGAGAGAGAGACGGTGGTGAAAAATTATGTTCACCATTTTATTTCATGTTATGTTTGCTAGTGCATTTGAAGTCCACCCAGCTGTCTGATTCCGATTCCGAAGGCTCTTGGCTCCTGCGTGCGCCAGTCTGAGAAATCTCGCAATAGCCTGCCTCATTAGCGTATCCAGTCTGTGAAGCACCGATGAGCCCTACTTCGAGACCCCCACGACGGCCTCTCCAGCCGGAAAGGTGGCCTCGTATTCCAACAGGAGCTTGACGCCCTGTCCCGGATTCAACTTGACCGCCCAGCTGACCTCACCACCCTTCTGCACCGTCGCCACAGCCGTTCCCCACCTCGGTCCCTCGTTCTCACTCGCGTTGGAGGCATACACACCAGCCCGGACATCCGTTGCGGTGCCACGACCGCGCACGCCACTACTACTACCCTGCGTAGACGTAGACGGGGTGTGATCCGCGACGGCAGGATATCTCACCCCCGTGCGGACGGGGTCGCCCGCGACCTTCAAGCCCTTGGGGCTCGTGATCTCAATCTTGAGGCGCTCGTCCTCCGAGACGGGGACCTGGTCGAGCACGGTGAGCTCGACGGCGGCGTTGTGCTTGGTGTTGGCGACGACGCAGGAGCGGCTGAACACGTTGGTGTCTTCCTTGGTGAAGATGCCGGCCTGGCTCCGCCGGACCGTGGGCTTGGGGTAGCTGATGGTGATGGCGGGATCCACGCCCAGCGGGAGGACGATGTGCTCGCCGGGGGAGCAGCGCGGGAGCGTGGCCTGGCCGAGGAAGGAACCGTCGAGGGTCAGGCCCAGGGGTCCCTTGAGCAGAGCAATCTGAGAGGTGTTGCGCAGCCGGGCTTTGAGGAAGGCGACCTGGCGGAGCTTGCCAACGACGACGTGGGAGAAGACGACGTTCTTGAACTCGATCTTGGCGATCTTGTGCTTGATGCTCGAGTTGTTGGGAGCGAGCGTCTTGGAGCCTGGAACGTCGTAGCTTGTTGTCATGCCGGTTTCCTCCCAGGCACCCTCCTCGAAGGTGAGAGAAGGGGGAGCAGGTGCTGCTTCCTCACCGAAGAAGCCAAAGGCCTCGTCGTCACATTCGCTGTCCTCGTAACTTTCTTGTTGGTTGAGGTGAGCATCATGCGAGCTCCTGGTGGCTCTGGATCTACTGTGTGCGCCGCCAGTACCCCTTGGAACTAAAATATTTGATCCAGCTGATCTCATTTTGACGGAAGAGGGCCTCACGGCTAAGCTTTTCCTCTCATGGAGTATCTCCTCCTCATATAGCCAAGCATTACGCTCAAAGTCGTCTCGGCCGAAGTACCCCAATCTCGACTTCTGGGCTGATCCCCCTCTGCTCTGATCGTACTCGTTCTTCTTGGCTTGGAGTTCGAGGGAGCTGAACAAAGACCCATCAGCGTTGCGAGCACCCTTCTCGAGGCGCACGTGCCAGGGCAGCAGTGATGGGATGCTCTCGCTGAGACCAGAGAATGAGGTCTGAGAGGTAGAGAGGATGACTTTGGCATCGCGCCACGTCTCGGAAGTCGTGTTCTTGAGCTCGGCACCATACTCCAGGAGGCCGGTACACTTGACCGTGTTGAGACTGAGGTCGTACCTCGGAGCCCAGGATGCACCGTAGGTGATGTAGGAGAGCGAGAGGGAGATCTCGCCAGTCTTGAGTGGCTCGGTCGACGGCTCGTGGAACTCCGAAGTAGCCAAGTTGACGATCGTATCGCCGCCGATGGAGCCGCGACGGGACGATGCTGGGGTCACGCTCGACGGCTCCAGGTTGATGGTGATGCGATAGACCTTCTTGGGCCAGGAGGCTTCCCTCTCCGCTTTGAGTCGCCGCTTCGCCAGGCCAATCTCGGCTTTGGCCCTCAACTTCTTCTCTCTCTCCTTTGCCTTTTCCCTCGTCGCCTTCTTACTGGCCTTGGCCAGTGCCACGACGATCTTCAGCTGCTCCTTCTCCGCCTGCCGAAGCCTATCCCGAAGGTCGTCTGCAACAGCCGTAGCAGCCACATGGTCCCGGTAGGTCTTCTCCCGCTGCTTGCAGTACGCCTCGAGCCAAGCCTCCAAATCACTAGGCGGCGGACAATCCTTCTCAACACTCCGGCCAAAGCCATCGCAGAATTTCAGACGCTTAGCGGCGGAGTCGATCTTCTCCTGCGCAGCCAAAAGCTGAACATTCAGTTTCTTGATCCTCTCTTTGCTCAGCTTCATCTCCTCAGCTTCGACAGCCGATTCCTCTGGATCGTCATCGTTGTCGTCTTCCTCGTTGTCGGAAGGGTAGATCGATTTAAAGATATCACGATTGGGGAGCAGGTCAACCGTGACATCCGTGATGGTTGCTGATCCTGTGCCTTCCACCTTGATGGAGTGCTCATCCACCAGAGGCGTGAGGCCGTCAATCACGATCTGATTTGGGCCGGCCTGGAGAATGACATTCTTGACGTCGCGAATGACTTGGGCTCGGGATGGGAAGAGCAGAACGCTACGAGTGGAGAGGTCGCGGATGCGAAACTCCTGTCTGTGAGGACTATCGCTCGCCATGATGACGTTGGCTTGTCGTCGATGATTGTCGATGGGTTTGGGTGTTGGATGTTGGATGGTCGTGGGTGCTCGTGGGTGTTTGTTTTGTATGGGAAGAAGCAATCGCGTCTTGTAAATGAGGCAGGAAGAAAAGATGGATGATGGTCCCGACCGAAAGTCCAAGGGGACCTCAGCCCTTCTTATATCGTTTGATGCTGCTCATCAGGCAACCTTCTAGCCCTCCGGTCAGTCAGTCAGTCAGTCAGTCAGCCCTTTCAGTCTTTCAGTCAGCCCTGCCCCACGCATCCTGCAGCTTCGCGCGACACCCACGGTGTGCGCCTGGGCCAGCTCTACCCGCTACAAAGAAAAAGAGTAGGCAACACTGAGCCCTGACGAGATACTGGGTCTCTTCAGCCAAGCCGTCCACAAAGAAACCATCCGCAACCCTCCCTCCAGATGTTTCTGAATCGATGCACAAAAGAACGGCGGAGGTGGGATGTTTCCCAAGTCCCGTCCAGGTGCCGAAATATTCAATTGTTTCGGAAAACGCATGCGTGGATGTCTATATCGCTGAGTTCACATCGCTCCGCTCCCCTTGCAAACATCGCTAAAGCCCCTATTCGTTGTTGTCTTTTATCTACCTGGTCGTTTGCCGATTCTCGCCTCGCTTAGATGGACGCCTCTAAGGCTCTTGTGCTTGCGGAACGCAACGTTTTCATGATATCCATCCAGCATACGTGGACGGTACTCTTTCGCCTGATATTCAGACAAAGCAAGTTGCTGAACGTGTTTGTTCTTCGATATCTTCTTATGCATCTTCCTCGATTCGCTTGGTTTAGAACTTGGGAGAGCTAGATTGGGATCGAGCCTCGAAGAAGGAGAAGAAGAAGAAGAAGAAGAAGCAACCATTCATTAACGCTCGCGTACTGAGCGCAAAAATTTCCTCGTACAGAAACAAACTACTTGCTGTATTTTTTCCAGGCTGTTTTGACGCCGGGCTGAAGCAAGGCTGGAGGAGAAGTCATGTGTATAGATTAATCTTTGACGAAATGATATGCATGTATGTACGGAGCTAGGTTGGAGATTAATACTGATAAATAGCGGCAGGTATAAGAGGTTGGATAATATATGTCAAAGAAATCTAGTCTCCGCGCTTGTACCCAGGGCATAAACTACGAAACACAAAAGCAGCTCTCCCTCCAATCGAGACGATTGATCGTAGCAAAATCACACACGATCTACGTCGGTCGATATATCCCAACACCCAGTAAATCATGAACTTAAACCCAGTGACTCCACCTCCTCTTCCTCATCCCACCCACCGGCCTCTCTTCCTCCTCCTCCTCCGAGTCCCCTCTATGCGGATTCCCATACACCAACCTACTAACCAAAACCCCGGTCCCCACATCCGCCACAACCTCTCGCATCCTATACTCCTCCGCGTCCCTCCCCCTCAAATACGTCGCCCCAAGACTAGCCGCAACCGTCGTCCCAACCCGCAGCCCCTTCGACCCGATCCAGTCCCCCTTCCCGCCATCCACGTGAAGCGCTTCCACCATCCCCGCAACGGCAGCCACCTTCCCAGCCTGGACGGCGTGATCGCTGGCATCATGGTGATTGCCAACCTGGCCCGCGGATCCTCTCCGCCTCCGCGTGCGAGAACCCGATCTCCGCGCCGGCGCCGGCTCGTAATCCTCGCTATACCCGTACTCCGCTCGTCGCGCCCACTCGCGCTCTTCCCGAACCAGGCGCGGCGTCGGGAACGAGAACGGCGGCGTCGGTGCAAACGGCACTGACCACTCGGGACCTGGCTCAGAGGGCGGCCGGGGAGAAGACCGCGGGTAGTCTTCTTCTCTTTCTCTTTCTTCCTCTTCTTCTACTTCTTCTTCTCCTCCTCCTCCTCCTCCTCCTCCATCATGACAATGACGGCGTTCGCGAAAATCTCGACGTTCCTTCCCCTTCTTCTTCTTCTTCCTCTCCACGTCCCGTCGCAGCCTCTTCACCTCCTCTCTCAAACGCCGGATCTCGGCCCGCTCGCGGTGATCGCGATCAGTAGCAGGCATCTTGTCATCATCGTCGTCGTCGTCGTGGGGTGCAGCCTCTTTAGAGTCTTTGAAGGAGGAGTGGTGGCTCTCTTCTCCTCCTCCCTTCTTCAGCCAGTGGTGCTCGGCCACGGCAGCCAGGCCCGTCAAGAAGAACGGCCCGAACTTCTTGATGGCGCTCCTCGTTCTTTTGCTGCTGATGCGTGCCCATTTCTGGACCGGGCTTGACGACGACGGCGGCGACGACGATGGTGGGAAGTCGTGGTGGGGAGACGGAGAAGAAGAAGAAAAGGAAGAGGAAGAGAAGAGGAACCTATCTCGCGGCATAGCTAAGGACAGGCGAATACGAATCGACTGACCGTTGCGTATCGAGAGGTGTTCTCTACTTCGAATCTCAGATTTCGACCCACGGGGGCTTTGCAGGAACAGTGAAAGGGATGGGGAATCTGCGGACTTTTTATCTCATGCCCTTTTCCTGATCTTTTTCCTCTCTCTTCCTCTCTCTCTCTCTCTTTTTCCTTTGGAAAAGGTGGGTAGGGGGCTGCAACGTACATAACGAGTGGGTGACATCGTCAGGCGGCGGGGAAAGATGTTCTCGAGGACGTACGGGGCCTTAAGACAACAGATATAAGCGAGCGGTGTGAGCGAGCGGGCTGCCCACCTGATCTGGTCACACGGGCACGTGCCCGGGCAGATTCGCGAAACCTAGCGACACGAGATCTTTGAAGCTAATAATAATAATAATATATATATTATATATATAATTTTTTGGTGGAACACTGACCTTCATCTGAACGCCATCGCAGTTAATTTTATATACAAGTCTGGCTGTCATCCTGCCAACATCCGGAGACCAAAAGATATCACGTGCCCCCACCCCTTCTCTCCTCTCCTCTTTTTCGGTACCGAATAGCGGGCGAATATTACCCTGCGCAATAGAGTCTGCCTTCTTCCCCTGCGCAGCGTCGACATTGGGATCGGGATTAGAGTACATACACACACAGCAGTATCAGCAGCCCCTTGGATTAAGCGAGCGGAGCAGCATCTACCGTACGCCGTACACATGTCAACAAAGTAAACAAACGAGTCAAAGGCTTGGAAAGAGTCCGTGAAGCCGGAAGATTAATACGGCATATGATACATTACATCTCGCACACAGATATATATGGATATATGGATATGTAATATCATACAAGTACGTCGCGACGCTCTTCGAATGGGAACAATGGATATACTCCTTATTAGCGCCAATGCTCCTCGCCGTCCACGCCTACAATTGAAAGCAGTTCTGGCCAACCCCTAGCAGCCACCTTTAACCTCCTCAATGCTCCCCCCTCAATTCTCCCCCTCGCTCCATTTCTTCAGAAGCGGTTCCCGGGCAGTACCCCCCGCGCGATTCTCGTCTCTACCCAGCCCAGCCCCAACGAGCCTACTCAAGCCGCCGAGGAAAGGGTTACTACTCCTCCTGGCTACCACCGGATGCTCCTCCACCCTCAGCGAGGAGACGGAGACGGAAGCGGATCGCGATACCGGCGCCGTGAAGACAGGCGAAGGCGGTCTGCCGTTGCCGTCGAGGCTGCGAGGCAGGAAGACCTCCTCCTCCACTTCGACGTCTGCGGGAGCGTGTTGGTGGTGGTGGTGGTTGTTGCCGCTCGGGTCGTGGGCGCTGGTGCCGGTGCCGGTGCCGCTGCTGGTGCTGCTGGTCACGAGGGGAGCAGGTTCATCGGGTACTTGCGAGAGGGACAGCGAGCTGGGCCTGCTTCCCGCGCTGCGTCGCGGCGGGGGCGGCGGGGGCGGCGCGCCTCTGGTGGCGATCAGGGCCGTGATGGGAGACGGCATGAGGCCGGGCGATCCCACCGGACTGGCTGACTCGAACAGGTGGCGCGTCTTCGCAAACACGGAGTCGGGACTGCTGTTGACCAGCAGGATAGGGTTGCGCGCGTTTGGCAAGGCCGGCGAGGTCGAGGCTGGGAAGGGGGAGAACTGGGACGGCGTCTCCGTCGGCGAGGAGCCATAGGCCGGAGACGAGAAGGAGGGCGAGGCGAAAGTGCTGGCGAGAGGGAGGCGAGAGGGCGTCGTAGGTTTGGCTCGCGTGGTGCTGGCTGCATCTGCGGCATCTGTGTGTGCATCGTCTCTTCCACCGGCAACAACAAGACTCGCTCGCCGGAATGGGTTGCCATCTTTGGGCTTGGCGGCGTCAACATCGCCCGCCGCGGCAAATGGGTTTCTGCTCCCGAGAGACGTCATCTCCGCCCGGTGAGCCTCGAGCCCATTTTGTGCGCCGATGGGACTGAATCGCGCGTTGTTCACCGGCCAGGGCTGCTGCGTCTCGCGTGGGAAGAGATCGTATTCCTCTCCGCTTTCTCGGCTCAAACTCGTCACGCTCGGCTTGGGACCCGCGTAAGCCGGATAGACATCTTCGAGCGCTGGCCCGAACTCGGTTACCTTGGGCGGTTGGTGTCGCGCTGGTGACGCGCCGATCTCGTTGGGACCGGGGGATTCTTGAATTGCTGGCTCATGACCGCCGTGGACATCATCACGGACGGCACTGGATCCTGCCTCGGAAGGAGTAGTGGGGAGAGAATCTGAACGAGTGTCTGATTCGAAGGACGGGACGGTGTCAGCCGTATGCGTGCGAACGTGGAGTGATGATTCGTGGCCTGCTGTGTAGTCTTGATCATATTCTGGCTCGGGCTCTTCGAATGAAACGGCACGAGGTCTTCTGATGGGGCTGCCGGCGTATTCCAAGTCCTCTTGATGAGGAACAGCGTTGTCTTCCTGAAGCCGCCTGCGGGCGGGCATGTCAGATCTCATATTGTCTACAAGATTGAAGAAGAACCCCGACGATCGATGAGCAGCATACGTGTCGTTGAACTCATTGAGCGGCTCATGCTCCGGAACCACTTCTAGAGGTGTGGTTGCTCGCTCAAAATACTGATCTGCCACATCTTCGGGATAGCGTACTCGAGCCTCGTAATCTTCATCCGCGGACTCGTCCTCAGACTCATCCTCTGAGTAATCGGCGCCCTCGATAGTGGGGTGTGTTGATTCCGGGCGGACTCCCAGCCGTGACGTCGATCTTTCCGGAATTTCTACAACACGCTCGACGACGTCCTCATCTCCATCGTCGTCTTCGACTGGAGCCGGCCTCAAACTGCCATAACGCTGTGCGGCTTCCAATCTACGGACTTGATGTTCATGTTCAAGCTCTCCAGACCAGTCATCGTCCGTATCTATCTCGGTGTTGGAGTCGGAGGTGGCATGTCGAGCGACGTGGCCATCTTCCCGGTGAGACTCGATGTCGATCGTAGGTTTCTCGTGTCGAGATCGGGGGAATGGCCATCCTTCGCCCATAGCGACTCTCCCACTTTCGGATGGCGACTGCTCCTCCTCGGCAGATACCCAGGTGTCGCCGCGCGACGAAGCAGTCATGGGCTCCAGGTTATCCAGTGGTGTCAAATGGTGGGCGGCCAAATCAAGATGGTGACCCTGGCTGTTACCGTATCTGGCTGAAGGTGTAGTCGACCGAGGCCTCTCGGTAGCTAAACCACGCTCGACAGGGAGCGGCCACGAGCTATATCCATTGGTGTCTTCCGCGTCAGGGGTTCTCCCCAAACACACCGAGTGTCGCTCCACCAGGGTGTTCAAGTCTCTGAATGAAGTCGAGTGATCATCAGCAATTTCTTTAGCCGATGAATTCGGAGCTTGTACCTCTATGCTGTCCGATCCAGTCACGTCGCCCTCATCTTCCAACTGTCCTAGCTTCGTGGTGGAAGCTTCCCCAACCTGATCTCCAAATTCCGCTCTCCGCGGCGTCCCAAGCATGTCGTTCTGCGATTCCAGTTCACCCCAGATCAGCGCATCCGAATCAGGAATGGGAGTCGTTGGCATAGAAGCCGCGGACACGGATCCGTAATTCGTCCCACGAGACCCTCTCCGCTGATCATCGGGGTGTTCGAGGTCCAGGTGAGGCGATGCAGACGGTTCATTGATTGCAGGAAACTCTTGTTCCGAGGTTTGATCCATCTCTTCCTCGACCGAAATTCCGAGAGACGGGCTTCCAAGGGCGTTTTCTCGGGTGTTTGTACTGGCTTCCGATATTTCTGGCGTCTTGGAAACACCTGCGTCTCCTGATGATGAGGGGCCATCCGAGCCGGTAGAAATGCTATAGACTTCTCCAGTAGCTTTTCCTGTCTCCTCAGATCTCGATTCCTCGTCTTCACCGATCGGGATAGTGGTAGCTTGGGCAGGTATATCCGACGCTGACATGTCTTTGCTCGCGGTATCGTCGATGGCAACATCAGTAGGTGCAGATAGTCCAGAGGTACCATACGAAGGGATTTCTTTGATACTCTCCTGAACAGAAGAAGGATTTTCAGGCTGTGATCTCTCCTCTTCATTAACGTTAGCTAGTATTGGTGCATCCTCGACTGGATGTTGAGAATCGTCGGTAATCGCGGAGCTCAGCTGATGGCCGACAGACTCCCGGTCCTGATCCTTTGCCTCAACTTTCACCGGTTTTTCTTCGATAACAGCAGTTCCGGGAAAGTCCGTCTTAGATCTCAGTAGGAGCATTATGGGTCTGGGAGCCGGGCCAGATTCAAGCAGCGCCAACGTCCGCTCATGGGTACCCGCCTTGCCTCCTGCTTCCGGGTCATCCATCTCATCCTTCTCTTCCGGCGCCGGCCGAAGGAAATTCATAGATCTTGAGTGCCGGAAATCCAGATTCCGAATCTGTAGCTCAGGATACAGATCCTCGATGCTCTTGCTCGCTCTCACGCGGTTGGCGTTGGTGTGGAAGATCTCTTCTTCGGATTGCACCGAGTGCGTGGAGTCGAAACTTATTGTGCGCTTGTGCCGGGTGTCTTCCGCAGCGGCGGCTCGGAAAACCGAACCGGATGTTGTGTTTCGACGTCCAAATTCAGGCCCAGCAATACTTTTGGATCTTGGTGAACGTTTTTCGATGATGGGAGACGATTTATCGCCTGCCTGCTCGGTGCTGGATTTCTCAGGGATAGGCTGAGAAGCGGCTTGTTCGACTTCAGTAGGATCTCTGTCGTTTGTCTCGGGGGACGTTGAGCGCGATGAACCTTCCAGCTGCGTTGTTTCCTGTGTCGTATGACCAGTTTCATTTTCAGAAGATGCCTGGGTTTCCTGGTTGTCAACAGAAGCGTCCTCAGGGTGGTTCGCATCGCCCGCTTCAAGAGACTCAACCATGTCTTTTTCAGCCTCATCTTGGAGAGGGGAAGTATCCTGTTGACTGGCTTCATGCGGCGTCAAAGGCGCGTCCGTCGGCAGGACGAGATCCGAATCTGTTGCCTTCTCCGATCCGGCTTCCTCAACCGACTCAGTCGCATCTGTTTCGCGAATTTCGGGGGCGACGTCTTGTTGTTCCATTTCATCGAGGCCGGGCTTTTCTTCTTCCTCCAACTCCTCGGCAGGAGAGAGGGGCTCATGCCCTAGTTCTGTCGTATTCTTTCCATCTTCGCTTTCAGGCGGCAATGTCCGAGAATCAAGACTCGTCTGCATAGTCACCATGGCCAATCCATTCCCAAGCTTTGGATAGTGCTCCTTCAGGGGCGAGTCGACCGTGAGACTGCATTGTTTCTCTGTTACCAGATCGTTCGCGTGGGTCAACTGATCTGCTCCAACTACCTCTCCTTCTTTCGCAAGAGTGATGTTAACTAGAGAGTCTGTTCTCTCGACATTTGGGGCAGGAGAGGAGTGATGAAGTTCGTCGATTGCTACCATATCGAGGGACCCTAACGTCGGCTGTCTTTGGACCGAGCCATTCGAAGTCTCAATCCATAAAGGTCGGGTGTCGTCCTCCAGGAGCTGCCTCTGTATAGAGCCACTCGACGTCTCGATCCAGGAATATCGAAGCTGGGTTTTGTTCTCCTGTAGCGCTGGACTCGAGTCTTCTTCGATAGGTTCATTCGAATTTTTGATCCGTGCTGGCTGGACCTCGACACCCTCCGGCAGCTCAGCCGAACCATCCGACGTCTCGATTGGGATCGACTCAGATTCATCCTCTTCCTCGGGTGCTACCGTATCTTGAGGGTGCTCCTGTACCGAGCCACTCGGAGTCTCGTTCTGGGTCCACTCAGAATCATCTGCTGTCTCTTGTACAATCATGGTACTTTGCGATTGTCTATGCACCGAACCATTGGCCGTCTCTACCCAGCCAGACGGGGTGGCATCCTTCAACGACAGTCTCTGCACCGAGCCATTCGACGTCTCGATCCAGTACCACTCAGAATCCCCCTCTTTCTCCAAGGGCGCTAGACTGGGCTCCGCATATCTTTGAACCGAACCATTCGAGCTCTCGATCCACGAAGGTTGATTGGCACTCCCTGACAGCTGTCTCTGCACCGCGCCGTTTGAACTTTCGACCCACATCCAAGAGCGCTGGTGGTCGTCGCTCTCTTGCAAGACAACCTCAGCTGGACTGGCTTCGGATTCCGGGAGTTCCTCTAGAGAAGGCGTGTTTGCATCATCGGATTGTTCCTCCGGGCTCTCGCTCTCGCGAGCCAGGCCATCCTCCACTTCAGACCCATTTTCTGTCGGAGGATCGAGGTTTCGAGGCAAAGATTCCTGTTCCTGTTCGGACTGCGGCGAGCTTGGAATGGACCGATCCTGCTCCTCAGACGCGTCGCTTGCTGGGAACGTAGGAACCAGGTCGGGATTCTCGTTCTGCAGAACCTCATCGCCTTCCGTCTCTTGACCAGCCTCTTCTCCATCTCTCGCAGCAAGAGACGCGGCCTCCAACATCTCAGCCCCTCCGCCAATGTCCTCGCCTACTTCTGAAGACCTCGCGATCTCGAGGGGAATATCCTCGGTGACATTTGTCGTCTCGATCTTCTCATCGGCCGCCGGTCCAGTTCTCTTGGCATCCAGATCAACAGGCGCAAAATCGAGCTCCTCTGCTGGTACGGCTTCTGACTCGGTCTCGGACGGAACTCGCTTAGCGTCCAGATCAACGGGCGCAAACTCAAGATCTTGCGTTGGAGAAACGTGGTTCCCCACCAGCTCCGCTTCATCTTGCTGCTCTGGTGAAGAGCGCTTAGCGTCCAAGTCGACGGGCTCGATCGAGATCTCTCCCGCTTCCGAGGCCGTTGCTTCCTGGGGAGCTCCATTTGCATGAGAAACTTCGTCTTCCTGGGGAGCTTCATCTTCCTGGGGTACTTCGTCCCCCAAGACTTCCACCGGCGCGTCCTGAGCATGGATCTCTCGCGCAGCCGCTTCAGACGAAGCATTCACATCTCCACTCCCCACCACCACCTCCTCCTCCACAGCCTCCACATCCTCAGGAGCATCAGTCTCGAGAGCGGTCAAAAGCTGGTCTGTGACCGAAGCCCCCTCACCAGCCTCATCCTCGTCTGCCCGTTCCCCTGAGGCTTCCGCCGCATCACTCGGTTGGGGCGCGGAGGGAGCGACCTCTGGTGCGGGCGCTACAGAAACGTCCAAGGCGCTCCAGGAGGGGTGAGACGGTGCGACGTCTCGCGACGAGGAGATGGCCGGGTGGTCGCCGTCGGCGGATAGCAGTGCGCTGTTCCGCTGGGAGCGGCTGAGGGTTTTGGCGCGGCTCCGGAACTGGATCTCGGGGATGACGGTCGGGGCGGCGAGCGCGGCTGCGATCTGGGCGTTGATCGACTGTGTGGTTTGGGGATCGGCGGTTAGCGGAGGCTCTCCGGATCCGAACAAACAGAGACGGACGTACGGACAACAACACCAACGGGAGCACCGAACGGCAATCAACCAAAACAAAAACACGCAACAAGAACAACAAGCGAGACGGAGGAGCGAGCGGAAACAGGAAGGGGGAGGGGCATCAACAAGGGAATCCAATCGGAAACCAGCAAAGAGAAATAGAAAAACGTACCTTCCTCTCCTCATCCAACCGGCCCAGCTCCGCCTTCCCCTCCGCAAGCCTCCTCTCCATCTGATCCTCCAAATCCTCCATCCTCACCTCCACCCCCTCAGCCAAGACCCTCTCCCTCTCCTCCCACTCGCGCTCCCTCTCCCCATCCTCCACCCGCCACCCGCGCTCCCGCTCCACGCCCCTCGCCCTCCACGCGGCCTCCCTCGCCTCATCCTCCCTCGCCCGCCGCGCACACAGCTCCTCCCACTCGCGCCGCCGCGCCTCGGCCACCAGCGCCTCCTCCCGCCTCCGCTCCTCCTGCTCCTCGCTCGCCCGACGCCGCGCCAGCTCCTGCAGCGCTGCCGCGTGCGCGGCGCGGAGGTCCGCCACGCGCGCCTCCCGCTCCGCGGCGAGGGCGTCCATCTCGGCGTCGTGCGCCGCCGTGTCGGCGAGCGACTGCACGCACTGCTGGATGCGGTCGATGTTTGCGTGTAGCTGCTCCACGAGCGTGGCGACCTTGCCGGAGGGCGGCGCTGCTGCTGCTGCTGCTGCTGTCGCCATCTCTGATTCGTTTCGAGTCGAGTCGTTGGTTTTCTTCGTCTGCACAGAGAGAGAGAGAGAGGAGCGGAAATGGATATGGATATATGTGTATGTAAGTAAGGCAAGCCCGTAGATGATATACCACCTGGTTCCGATTCCGATTCCGATTCCTCCGTCACCTCTTGAATCCAACGCTCCTCCTTCCGTGCTGGAGAGATAGATTAGTATAAGATTGCCTGCGTGCCTGTCTGCCTCGAGCGCGAAGAAAGAAAAGAAGATCGCGGCTCTGTCGAGTCCCGGTGGAGAGAGTGGCGAGGTAGGTAAGTAGGTAGGTAGGTAGGTGGGTATCCGACGGAGTGTTATTAATCGACGTAGTATTCGACGTAGCAGGGGAGAAGCGTCGGATGCGGGCTGCATCAGGGGGGGAGACAGAGAATATATATGGTTGTGTTGTGGTTGTTGTTGTCGTTGCCAGTTTCGATGGATATATGATACTTCGTTTGGAGTTGGGTTGAGTTTGTTACATCGGACGAGGGCGAAAACCCATGGATCGACCGCGAGTATCAAATCCAACTTCAGTCGAAGATCCAAAACGGAAATGAAAGTCCCATTTACGGGAGGGGAGGTGATGGTCAGATGAGATGAGATCAGACAAGAGAAGAGACGTTTAGCGTAACGTAAACGAAGTAAAGAGAGTACTTTTTTTGTGTCTTTCTTGTCGCCCAGCGAAACAGATTCCCCTAAAGATCCAGTGAGAGAGAGACAGAATGACAGATAGACAGACAGACAGACAGACAGATAGACTGATAGACTGACTGACTGACAGATAGACAGACAAATAGATAGAAAACAAAACAAAACAAAAACAAAACAAAACAGTCGGCATACACACACACACACACATAGACACACAACGCCAATGCCAAACTCGGAATCCAAACCCCACACCACACACCCGAGGAAACACAACCCACAGACGTAAACCCACAGACACAGGCAGGCAGGCCAAAAGAAAAAAGAAAAAAAAAAAAAGAAAAGGAAAAATAAAGGCCGTTTTTGAAATCCCCTCGCTTACCACGCACCCTCTCAACTCTGTACTAGTCCGTGCCCCAATCCTCAGCTCCCCCTTCGCCCCTCCTTACCAAAAGACTCGCTTCATTATCGTCGCGCCTTTAAAACAACAACAGGTACGTGTGACCTTCTCCGCCCCCGTTCGCGCACCGCACCGCACCGCACCGTCACTCACTCACTCACTTACTTACTCACTCGCCTTCCCACCTCCTATCGCACGTTCCTCCGTCTCACCTACGTTTCTCACTCCCCTCTCCTTCCTGCTTCCGATATCGTAATTTCGTACTTCGTGTTCTTACGGACGGGTACCGATTCCATTCTCATTCCATCCATTCCATCACAGCGCAGACAGCCAGCCAGCCAGATCGAAAGGCACCGAGTTGAGCCTCCTGCTACCGGTAGGTCTGTCTGTCCGTCTACCTTGGATATATACAGACACACACACACATACACATACCCATACCCCCATCCATTCCATTCCATTCCAATCCAATCCACTCCACTCCATAGCAAACGCAAACGCAAACGCAACCCCAACCCAACCCCAAACCCGAAACAAAAGCGCCGTCACACCAAACCTACGCAGAAAAGCACCGTAAGCTCTCCTATCCACCCTCCAGCAGCGAAAGCGAAGCAGTGGGCAAGAAAGCAAGAAAGAAAGAAAGAACGTAGTAGGTACCAGTCAGTACCTTTGCCTACCTACTAAGCAAGGTGACCGCACCCCAGAAACCGCAGTAGGAAACCCCCGTAGCGGAAGTACGGGGCTACCTACCGCTACTCCTCACGTGGTCAGGTCAGGTGTGGCTCGCACGTGCCCACCACACAGCCAGACGAGACAGAGACAGAGACAGAGACAGAGACAGAGACAGATTACGGTACGGTTACGTTACGGTAGGAGGTACCCGTCGCCCAAGCTGTTTTGAGCGCAAAGGAAGGAAGGTACCTTACCTTACCTACCTTACCTACCTTACCTACCTTACCTTACCTCACCTACCTTACCTTCCTCATCTAGGTAAGTATGAATGCACGCATGGATGAACAAATGGGTACCTATAAAAGCGTCGATCAGGAAAAAAAACCTACCTATTATACCTACCACACCTAACCAAAACCCCTCTCTCTT